TGTTTAATGTGAAATTCACTATTTCAGTGAAATTTTATTATTACAATAAACATTAAATTGTATTATTTTTTATTATTTTATTTCTTATAAATTTTATAGTTTAAATTTTATAATAAAATGAAGATCTTTTAGGATAGTAAACAAAAATATGGAAAGTTATAGGAAATTTCTTAGGAAATAGAATGTTAAAATGTGTAGTTTATTTTTTGTTTTTGCTCTTTGACACAAGTACATGCATACTAGAAGAGCTAAAATTTGAAAATTTAGATTATACCAAGTGTTGACATGTTCCATAGCAACTAAAATTTTCATATTATGGTATAGGAATGGAAATTGATACAAGCATTGTAGAGAACTGGTCAGTAGCATCCTGGGTATCAGAGCCTGTAATGCCTGTGATGGAGAAATCCTTCCCGTAGGTACATTTCCAAGTAAAGGGAGTGCATAACTTTCAAAACTATGGGCAAAATGCTCATAGAAGCATAATTTATATTAAGCAAAAATCAGATACAAATCAGATGTCTATCAGTTACAAGGATTGAGCCTTTGTAGTAAATTCATGGAAGTGAGTTCTGAGAGTTCTGTACACAGATAGATATTGATAAACTATGCTACATAAGCTACATGAAACACTACTACAGAATTCTGTCATAATGTTGAATGAAAGAATCCAGACCCAAAGGTTAAGAATATGATATTTCAAACATTAGTCTACGTGAGTTGACATTCCGAAGAGTGGTTTCTCATGGGTTGGTGGGAATAATGGCTATAAAGTAGGATTTGTTTCTATTCTTTTCTATTTTTTTTTTCGGTGGTGGGGCTTGAACTCTGGGTCTGGGCGCTGTCCCTCAGCTTTTCAACTCAAGGCGTGTTCTCTACCACTTGAACCACAGAGCCACTTCCTGTTTTCTGGGTGGTTAATTGGAGATAAGAGTCTCACGGATTTTCCTGCCCAGGCTGGCTTTGAACCTTGATCCTCAGATCAAGTAGCTAGGATTACAGGCTTGAGTTACTGGAGCCCAGCTAAATTTTAAAATGTTTTTATGCTGGTCCTGGGGCTTGAACTTTTTCTATGATTGAGATAAGAGTCTCATGGCCTTTCCTGCCTGGACTGGCTTGGAACTGCGATTCCTCAGATCTCAGCCTCCTGAGTAGCTAGGATTACAGGCATGAGCCATAAGTGCCGGCTTCAGAGTGCTTCTTGGGGAAAGGGGGATCATCTACTTTTCCCATGAAACTGATTGTACAGAATGTGAATATGAATGTTGTGACAATAAATATACCTAAAAACGTGTACTTTTGTGTGTTCATTAACATTACTGACTGTGACAAAGAAAACATAAGTGCCAACATAAAGAAGACTTACATAACCAAAAGGCTAATAATTAGATCTAAATAACAATTATGATAGACTAGAAGATATTGATTCAAAGAAATTCTGTGTTAATAATGATATCTGTGAATGGAAGATACTGAGAAATTGTACATGCCATTGCTTGAGCCAATCAAGGGAACATTTTGACTTCTGTTTGTGACCTTCCTTTTTTCTGCCACAGTGTCCTAGTTCCAGTAAAGATCAGCATATTCTCCCTCTCAAAGATCATGTTCTCCATCTATAGTAGTGAAATGAGTGTGTAAAAGGAAATTATTGCCCATTTATTTTCACTTGAGGTGAGCTTAACAACTCACCTAAAGAATTTCACTGAAGACACAAGTGATATAAAATTAGAAAATCATCTTTTTATGAGAGTGGAATGACCAGGTTTTCCTTCTCCTTACCAGAGAAAGAATTTTAGCATCTAACCCAAGGGTTAGATGTTAGGTCCCCATTGTGAATTCTAGAAATTATTTCATTTGATTCCATCTACCTTTTAGATTTAAATTCCAACTTATTAGAAATAGCATTAAAGTAATTGCTAATTAAGCTAAATATAATTTCAAGACAAATCCAGAAGCTAAGACAAAATATAATAAAATTGGATTTTTTTCACTTCAATCCAAGATCAGTGGGGAAAATTTATTTATTTATATAATTAATAATGAAATAGTGATCAGTTGTGGTGGTGCCAGGATATAATCCAAGCTACACAGAAAGCATAGGTAATAGGGTCATTATCTCAAATGGAAGACTTTAATATAACTAAAGAAAGGGCTGGGGATGGAGGCATGGCTCAGTTGGTTGAGCTCTAGCCAATGAGCAAAAACATCAGATACTGAATTAATCCTGCTCTCAGTCCAAAGACAGACAGGAAGGAAGGAAGGAAGGAAGGAAGGAAGGAAAGAAGGAAGGAAGGAAGGAAGGAAGGAAGGAAGGAAGGAAGGGAGGGAGGGAGGG